CCACAAGCACTCTTTTTTGCCTTGGACCTGTGAGGAGGATTCCTTCTCCAGCACCACCACAAGCTCTGCCATGTCAGTGCTCCTCTTTGTCCCAAGACCGCCACACAGAACTATGACCCAGATCCAAGGACAGGCAAAGCAAGAGAATCCTGCCTCAGTGCCAGCAAAGAGATCCTTGCAATCCTCCTCTGATCAGCTGCTCAATATCTGTGGGCCAAGAGTTTCAGAAGCAGCCACTGCCACTGCCCCAGGGCTGCACCAGCCCGTGCTCCTCTCTCACCCAGCTCTGACATACTTAATCTTTTTTGAACCTTAGTTTCCTCATCTGTAAAATGGGAGCCAAAAATCTTTGTACTGACTGCCTCACTGGGGATGAAAGTGCTCTATAGACTGCAAAATGCCACATAAACATGAGCTGACAATAGAGTTAAAAGTTGCTAAATTTTAAAATATACAAAACACTTGCCTAACAAATTCACCAAACAGAATTCTGTCCTTAAGGAATTAATACATTTAGTTCCAAATTCACTCTAAGAAATAATAATTTCCCTTGCCCTCCAATAAATGCTAAAACTACTGAATTTGAGGGGAAGCTAGGTGGAGTACTGGATAAACTGCTGGATCTGGAGCTTGGAAGACTCCTCTTTCTGAATTCAAAGCTGGCTTCAGATACTAACTAACTGTGTGACTTTGGGCAAGTCACTTCACCTTCATCTGTAAAATGAATTGGAGAAGGAAATGTCAAACTATTCCAATGTCTTTGCCAAGAAAACCCCAACTAAGGTCATGAAAATTTGGATGCAACTGGAAATGACTGCAATTTGAAAGTCCCGTCTTGCAATTTTCCTCCTCCCTGTTCCTGTTGCTAGCCAGGGGTGACCAGCTGCTTCAACTCTGTGTTAGAGTTAAACTCCAGGAACCATCTAAAGTTCTAAAATGACCTTTTTTTTGCCAAGTTCAACAAAAACTGTTTTGATGTAAGGAATAGAGAGATAGGGCTGGAACTATGATTTGTGAGTGTTGGCAACTTCAAGATGAAGAAACCCGCCTCTACCCATATATATTGGCACCTTCTCTGCAATTTATAATCTGCAAATTATAATTGGGCACTGAGCAATTAAGCAATTTGCCCAGGTGTATGTTAGAGGCAGGACTTGAATGTAGCTCCAAGGCCAGATCTCTATCCACCACACCATCCTGCCTCTTACCTCAATGCAAAGGTTGTTCTTAAAAAGAATACAAGCATTAGCTTAGGAACAGAGCAGTCAATGTAGGTACAAACTACCAGTTTCTTATCTATAAGACCAGGGTTGTCAAATATGTAGGCCCTGGAATATTTCCCTTTCCCCACAAACCAGATTAAAACGTAACTGAGAAATATTTAACAAAATAAATAAAAATATAATAAAACATAGATAATGTTAATATGGAGTTTTCTAAGTCAACATGTAGTCTGCAGGGATCCTTCTGGATTGTTTAGTGGTCCCCATTTCTATTTGAGTTTGATGCCAATGTATAAAGACCATCCTCATAGCAACATCACTATCAACCAGATGTTGGACCCAGCCTTGACAGTAATGCAGTTGATTCCTTAGCTCTGGGTATTAATTCTGTAATTAACTGTACTGTTGCTCCTGGGAAAAAATATCTAGGAGAAGATAAATTCAAGAGTTAGATCTCAAATTCAGAATGGGAAGAATTCTTTTTTTTGGGGGGGGGGAGGTAGGAAGGAGGGAGGCAATAGAGGATTAAGTGACTCGCCCAGGGTCACACAGCTAGTAACTGACATTGGAGTTGGGTGTTGTGTGTGTGTGTGTGGGGGGGGGGGGATAATCAGGTGGCAGTTTTTGGTGACCAGTTTCCTCATCTGTAAAATGAAGGGGTTGGATCAGATAACCTTGGAGGTCCTGGCAACTCTACATCTCTATCATCCCTCTCCTATAATTTTTATCCATATTTTCACATAACTCCTTCACTAGCACTTTAGCGACCTCCTCTTGTTCTTTGAATATCTTGAGAATACCAACAAACCAACTGGGCTATCCGTCATCAGTTATCAGCGTACCTCCTCTTCTAGTCATCTATATCTCTTCTTTTCTATACCTCACTTCTTCTGTCTGAGCTGTTGGGAACACTCTGCACCTCTTATCTGCATAATCTTTATCACCCCAGTGCCCTTTGGATTATTTTGAATTTGAGTTCTGAGACCCTGGTATTAATCTGGTTTATAAAAATATATCATCTTTGGGAGAATGCTATTGTGAACAATGCGTTCTCTTGCAATAGAGGGCAGTTTGGAATTATGTGAAGTATTGGACCTTTTCTCTAACATACTCCTGCTCAAATGTACTCCTGGGATCAATTCTGGGCCCAGCTTACTATCCATATGCAGTTTCATGGTAAAACATGAACAGCAATATATCGACAATATACAAATATGGATGGTTATTATCCAAAACACACACTGATCAATTAATTCAACAAGCTGCCAATATATCTGCACGCCATAATCTAGATTTTATTATAAATACTTTATTTAAAAGTGTAAAAACCATTGTTATCTCATGGGCTGTGTAGTACAGGCAGGAGATCGGATCTGGCCTGTGGGCTGTAGTCTGCTGACCCTGACTAGACTATGCACACATTTTATCACTTCTTGTTTTACCCAAGTGGATGATTAGAGGTAGTACGCCATTGTGGATGAGCGGCTGAGCTTAGAGTCAGAAGACCTGGCCTTAAATCCTGTCTCTGACACTTAACAGCTGTGTGAACACGCAGGATTCCCTTGACTTCTCTAACCCTCAGTTTCCTCATCTGTAAAATGGGAAGCAGTGTGGGACAACGAATAATGGGCTACCCTTCAACTAAAGAGGACTTGGATTCACATAGGACTTTGGGTTGATTGGTATCAGGGCCATAGTGAATTGTTTTTTTTCAATTCCTTCAAATGTTTAGGTACCAAAGAATGACCTATGTGGGGTATGGTCAACACAGAAAAGTACAGGATAAAACAAACGTCCCAGTTCCTCGTAGATTTCAGGAATCCCCAGAGATGTGATTGTAGGTGACATCCCAGCCACAACACCTTTCTAAGGTGTGCCTATTACTGTCCTCCTCTCCATGACCCCCTAGGAATCCCAGTTCTTCTTGCTCCAATCAAGTCACCCACATTCCCAGCCACCTAGAGGAACTCCCTGTGCCTTCACTGCCCTTTTTAGCCTTAAGTTCTTTTGGAAAATTTGAGGAGGGAGAAAGCACTCTCAGCTGTGGGTATCAGAGAGGGCTTGACGGAGGAAGAGGAACCTGAACTGAGTCTTGAAAGAAAAGGGAGAAATGAAGAGAGCATATTCCAGGACGGGTGATGGCCTGAACAAACAAATGTCCTCAGGCAGGTGAGAGCATGACAGGCTTGGGGAATAGCTAATAGCCCAGTTTAGGTGGACAAGGGCTGCGGAAAAGGAAACAGTGGTAAATAAGGCCAGAAGGGTCAGCAGGAGCCAGACTGATGAAGGCTATCCTTAGCCTGGCAAAAATGTGTGTACTTTTAGCCACTGGATGCTTTCGAACAAAAGAGTGACATGTTCAAAACCCATACATTAGGAAGACTATTTGGGGCAGTTTTTGCCATCCCCTTCTGTAAGTCAGTGTTGCTCTTGGCTGCTATGTCTTTCCATTTGGCAATGAGATTATGTCTGGCTGAGGCAGTTTCTAGGCTCTTTGGCATTTCCCATTCTGCATTAAACATTTCTAGGAAACAGTAATAGAGCCAATATCCTTATGTTCATTTATTTCCCGCTGACAATCAACAGCTTGTTTAAACAGGTTGGCCAAGCTGCCATAACTCCATTAAGTGCTGCTAATGGCTGCATTCTAGTCTTAGCTTTGTCATAACTAACTGTGTGACCTTGGGCAGATCACTTATCTATGAGCCTCAGTTTCCTCAGCACCTCCATGTACTCTTCAATCCAGTGACACCAGCCTCTTTCCTATTCCTTGTGCAAGACACTCCCTTTTGGGATTCTGGCCATTTTCTCTGGCCATCCCCACAGCTGGAATTCTCCCCCTCCTCGTCGGTACCTCTTGGGTTCCTTCAAGCCTCAGCTAAAATCCTACCCTCTATGAGAAGCAATTCCCAATCTCCTTTAACGTGAAGTGCCTTCCCTCTATAATCATTTCCAATTTATTGTGTATGTATCTTGTTTGTACTTGGTTGTTTACATCACATCTCTTCCATTAGACTGTGAGCTCTTTGAGGAACAGGGACCATGTGTGTCTTTCCCTGTATCCCCAGGGCTTAGCACAGTGCCTGGCACATTGTAGGTGCTTAACCCAAACTTAATCCTTGACAAAGAAAGTGAGGGTTCTCCTTCCACTTGTTTAACTTTTCCATAACGTTGCAGACACCACATAGGTGATATTAAGTCCTCCAAATTGACTTAAATGTAAAAATAGTGATAATGCCTACAGTCCCTTACCTCACAAGGGAATTGTGAAGCTCAGATGGTATAAAATGGGTTAAAAGTACTGCAAACTTTAAAATGCTATCTAAACGCCAGTTATAATTATAATACTTCTTTCTTAAGCATCTTTTTCAACACCTGAATTCTCTGAAAGTCCTTCCTCCCCAACCCCTGATGCATTTTTTCTGACTACCTAACTATAAGAAAACACGAAGATAAAAAGGCGCTTAAATCAATTTCTTGAGGCCTGAACCCTAATCTATTTTAGGCTCAAGGTCTACTGTGACATCCTAAGAACAAACAGCCTTGGGTACAGAAATCATGGCATGTTAGAGCTGTAAAGACTCCCCCCCCACTACATGCCCCTGCCCCCCAACAAATGGCTTGTTTGGTGTTCTATGCACAGAGGAAAAACCCCCTCTACTTATGACTGTTATTGTCGGTTTTGTAGCGAGCATGTGGTTCTGACAGGCAAGGCAGAACTGACTGGCTTGAGGCTAATGATTAATTCTGTCAAATACAGCGCTGGGTATGTCTTACCTCAAACTGAATAAGCACGGTCCCACTTTCTAGGCCTTCCTTTAGCTGTTCTATAGATTCTTCCAAGGTGGTATCATACTTTGAATTCATAGGGAGAATGGACTCTGGGAAAAGTTGACAGTTTATTTCATCTTCTGATTTGGCTTCAGCAAATGAATGGACAACTACAAGATATAAGAATTACAACATTTTGTTTCTGTAGTAAAAACTGATTTATAATATTTTTCCAAAACAAGGTTACATGCAAACACAGAACACTGATGGTTGTTTACTATTTTTTCCTGTATGTTGCTTATTAAATGATCACAGGACACAAGCAAAGACACTGTGGTATAGCATAGCAGTAACTGACTGTAGACATACTATGTCACAGGCAATGTCTTGACTTTCGAGTGAACTAAATTTAAGTGAGACAGAGCTGTGCCAGGTCGTCAGCCTCATTCCCTCTTCTTGAGTCATTGGAGTCCAGCAGGACAAAAGTCAAGATGACAGACGGGCTAATAGCACATATAACAAACTAGTCTTTCTGCTTTGCCCTACATGTTGTGATTTTTACTGATGACTGATATTGAAGAGCTTTTACTGAAGGTGGGGAACATGGGAAAAAGGCTTAAAAGGAAATATTTTTCCATCATTGACAATTCTTTCCTTAGTGTTGTCATCACCCAAGGTTCAGTCTTGGGTCCTCTGCTTTTTTCTTTCTACACTATTATAGCTGCTGTCCTGGCATGAGACTTATTAGTTGGGTGACTGTGGGTAAATAGTTTAACTTCTTAAAACTTCAGTTTATTTTCAGTAAACTGGAATGATGATGTATGCTACTACCTACATTTCTCTAAGTTGTTATGAGGACTGTGTAAGTTAATGGAACTTGACCTTTCCCCTAAACTATATGCTGCATCACCAACTACCCACATTACAAATGCATGTTCCACTATTATCTCATACTCAACAGATCTAAAATACAAACAAACTAAACCCCCCAAACTCTCAATATTTTACCCTTAAACCACTCCCTATCCTTACTTCTGTATACCTATTAAAAGTCTCACCACATTCAGCAAGCTTCCCTTATTCCTTATATCTCACCAGTCACCAAGTCCTATCATTTCCTCAAAGAACAGATAATAAGATTTACAGCTATCTGGGGCTTTGTAGGTCAACTAGTCCAACCCTTTCACATTATAGATAAGGGGAAAAAATTCCAAATTGTGAAGCCATAGGCTGACAAGGAGCAAGTCTGGGATTTGAAAACCAAGTCATCTGGCTTTAGAGTTTGTGATTTCCACTTTTTCAGTCATCTTATACTTGCCTCTCCACCCACACACGCTTTGTTGTTATTCAGTCGTTTCTGACTCTTCGTGATCCCATTTGGGGTTTTCTTGGCAAAGATACTGGAGTGGTTTACTGTGTCCTTCTCTAGGTCATTTTACAGACGAGGAAACTGAGGCAAACAGGGTTAAATGACTTGCCCAGGGTCACCCAGCTAGTAAGTGTCTGAGGCCAGATTTGAACTCAGGAAGATGAGTCTTCCTGATTCAGGCCCAGCACTTTATTCACCCTGCCACCTAGTTGCCGCCACTCTACAACCACCACATATTCTACAATCCTGCTATCCTGGCCTCCATGCAGTTCCTCAAATGTGAAATTCTGTCTTCCCTCTCAGTGCCTTTGAATTGTCTGTACCCCACCATCACCTCTGCCTCTCAATTTCTCTGGTTTTCTTTAATTCTCCCCTTCCATAAGAGGGTCATTTTGGTCCCCTCCAGCTGCTAGGGTCTCCCCTCCTAAGATCACCTTCCACCTACCCCGCACATATCTTCTATGTACTGACATTATTTACATGATTTCTCCAATGAAATGTGAGCTCCTTGAAGGAAGGGAGCAGGTTTTTGCTTTTCTCTCTATCTCGGGGGCTTAGTAAAATGGCCGCTACATAATAAAAGGCCTAAAAAATGCTCAATAATTAGCCAACTGCTCTTTCTATAGCACTACATTGCCTCTTTCTTTTTAAATGTCTTCACCCCCATTTCTTCCTTTCCTGGGCCCAACTTATCCCAAATGATCTCACATTTAAGACTATGGAATCTCATAAATCACCTCCTTGCTTTCCACCTCTTTTCCTCTCAATTCTTTTTCTATAGTGTTGATAGATTAAACTGCTTAATTCACAGCTTTATTCCTATCACTTCAAATATGAAAAACCATCAACGGCTTTCTAATATACACAAAAGAAAATAAAAATTCAAACCCCTTAGCTTGGCATTAAAATTCCTCTACCAAATGAGGATGACCTACCTTTGCAATCTTTTCTCTCCCTACTCTCCGACACAAACCTTTCATTCCTATCTAAGGGGCTTCCTCAAGGTTTCTCAAACAGGACTTGATTTTTCTGTTGCTTTTCATGACTCTTTTCTTAGCTGTGCTAGACCTGCAATTAGGAAGACTTGCATTCAAATCCTACCAGACACTTACTAGCTGGGTGGCCCTGAGCAAATCACTTAACCTGTTTGCCTCAGTTTCCTTATCTGTAAAATGGGGATAATAACAGTAACCCTTTTTTTTGAGAGGGTTGTTGTGAGGATCAAATGACATAATAATTGTAAAGCGCTTAGCACAGTGCCTGGCACACAGTAAGTGCTACATAAATGTTAGCTATTACTACTGTTACTGCTGTCACTACTACTTCACCACTGCTACAACCACCACCACCACCATCACCGCCACTAGCTGTGTGCATCTGGGCAAGTCACTTAACCTCAGCTTGCTTCAGTTTCCTCATCCGCAAAATGAGGATAATAATAGCACTTACCTCCCGAGGGTTGTTGTGAGGATCAAATGAGATAATAATTGTAAAGCGCTTAGCACAGTGCCCGGCACACGATAAGCACTATATAAATGTTAGTTGTTGATATTATTAGCTATGTGACCCTGGTCAAGTCACTTAAACCTCTGTCTCCCTCAGTTTCCTCATCTATAAAATGGGAGATAATGTTAGCACCTTCCTCCCAGGGTAGATGTGAGAATCAAATGAATTAATATGGGCAAAGTGCTTTGCAAACCTTAAAGCGCTATATAAACGCTATCATTATCATGATTATGATTATTATCATTCTTTCTCCTTCATCACTTCCTCTTTGCATTATGTGAACCTGACCTATCCTTTAAGGTCCAGCTGAAATATGACCCCCCGGAAGCCTTCCCTGATTGTATCTTTTCATATACATATGCACTATTCCCCCAGGAAGCCGAGTCTACTTTATTCTTTTCTGTATCTCTCATGGTTCTAGTAAGTGAATGTTGAATAATTGGCACATTTAAGTCATTTGTGTCTTTGCTGTTGTTTTACAGTGAATAATAATCACTTATAAGTCAAGGTTGAAAACCGTCATTCATATGAATATCGGCAGTCCCACCTTTCCCCCTCAACAATGTGCTCTTAGAAACCATGTCAGACAAAAGAACAAGTTAAGGCATGTTTTCCCATGAGAACAATATTGTAAGTGGGATTTGGAAACTGGATCAAGGACACTGCATCAAACCATGGATATGACAAATAGCGGTGATATTTAAAAAAACAGATATGCCTGCTACATACCTCGTTAATCATTCAAAACAATAAAACTGGGCTTTAAATCCTCCAAGTTGTGCACAGATGGATTGGACACATCAATCATACAAGGAGTCCTGGTACTTTTCAGCACAAAATGTGCATGGGGCCCATAATAATAAAGTATCATAAATTTTACCTACAACATTTAATTAAGAATGATTTGGGGTGCTTTCTTAGAATCAAGACAGGCTTTGTGTGGGTGATTTGGGTGACCAAAGGCTCTTAAAACTATTGTCCACAAAAGTAAACTGTTTTCCTCTGGATATGTTTTTACCCCCTGCCACAAGTGGGTACACTCAAAAAGCATTCCACTGATTTTTGAGCCTTGCTCAAGGTAGCAGTGATCAGTGAACCCTGGTGATTGTGGCAAACTTCTTGAGTTAGTCAACATGTATTTACCAAATGCCTACAATGCGCCAGCAGGCACTACAATGCTAAGTGCTGGGGATACAAAGAAAGGCAAAAAACAGGGTCCAAATGTAGAAGACAGTCAGTAAAATTACTTGGAGTGCAGTGACAGGGTATCATGTGCAAGGAACAAGGAGGTCAGTATCAACGGATATCAGTATACATGAGGGAAGTTAAGACATAAGAAGCCTGGAAATATAGGAAGGGGCCAAGTTATGAAGAGTTTTAAGGTAATAAGAGAATTGTTATTTGTAAAGGCAGGAATCAGGGATGTTTGTTTTATATTCCTACCTTTCTTAGATAAAGGTCAAGCAAGGCAACTACCCTTCATATCTCACAAACTTTTTGATGCCATTGCCAAGGACAGATGGGACCACTACTCCACCCTTCTAGATTAGTATTCTTTGTTAAGGTGAATTTTCCTTTTTCATCTACACTCATCCATCTCGTGGCTATACCCACTAACTATAGCCACTCATACTCTGTTTAGGCCTTCTTCCCATCTTTAACCTCTTCGGGTTCAACACAAACCAAATGGTATGTAAGGGAAAGCAAAGAAACCCATATATGTACACTATCAAGGGAGAGTTTCGTGAAGTAATACAGAAAAATATAATAGAGATCGATAATAAATAAATGGATAATATTGAAATAAATGGATACATTTAGTTTTTCTCCTTATAGCTCTCCCCTCCCTCCCCAAAAATAAAAACTACAGGGAAATGGCTTCCATTTTGGAATGGACACCAATGTTAAACTTCTTCACGGTCAGTAAATGAGAACTAGGTTTCTTGCAACAGTAGATTACTGTTTATAAGGTGTTAAAATACAATTTTAAATTAAATTAAAGATATACTAAATTTATACATGTAATACCAACTCTTCTCTAGGGACAATCCATTCTCATTTATTAAATTAACTCTTATTCTTATGATTAGTTACCTTTCCTCCTGATCAATAGTGCCAGTTCTCTTGTGTGCGACTCCCGGCTGGCTTTGATAAACATCACTACTTGATCGTGGGTGTGCTCTGAGATGTCTCTGCCATTTATAAGTACTATTTGATCCCCTTCATTCAGCTTAGGAATGCATTTATCAGCCTGTTTCAAGATCAAAATAAAATTTATTAGGTTACTATAGCTACCTTCCTGGGTAGTGAAGAAATACCATTCCTTCCTATGCTAGAGTCTTGGGACTATAATCAAGAATTCATTATTCTCTTCATCTAGTATCCTGTTGCATCCTTTGGAGACAGTGTGGCACGATGGAAAGAACACTAGGTCTGGAGACAGAGGCCCAGGGTTCGAATCTCTTCTTTGATGCTTCCAACATCTCAGAGCTGTGACCTTGGGCAAGTCACTTCATCTCCCTGTGCCTCAGTTTCCTCTCTATAAAATGAGATGGGAATAGTTGACTTCAGTGGTCCCTTCCAGCTCTAAATCTACGATTCTATGCATCAATAGCTATGTTGAGAACTCTAAAATTTGAGGCGGCTTTCAAGTAGCTTCAGACAGAATTCAGCTGAAAAAAATGTTTTTAAAGTAAAACTAACAACTACACAGAAGCTCTATTTTCTTAAGGCAGTCAATTATTTATTACTATAATTACTAGCAAGCACTGCTGTCTTTCTGTTGCTACCTATTTTTTTTTTTCAGAAAACCTTTTGTCCATATCCTCCCTTCACATCGGCGGCAGCAGCAACAGCAACAGCAGCAAACACTTCAGTTAATCCTCATTCCATCTGCTAAAGGCATCAAGTAAGATGAGCTATAGATGAGACTAAAATTTAAAAGGGACTCTGATAAGTTACAGACAGAAGACACGATGTCATACTGTGTGTTAACTGTTCAGCAAGAAAAAAGCAAAATAGCTACTTTCTGGACAAAGATCCCATAGATTCTATATCTAACAACATGAGTGTTATCCTTCAAAGCAGTAATTTGGGGAGGCTATATATTCACATCAACTATGGCATTACTGCACCAAACCCATTTGTCTGTTCTGAAACTCCCCTCATGACTAGTTTCCAAGTTAAAGAAGAAAGTCAACATTGCTTCTTTACCTTTTTTCCCCCAATAAAAATAACAATGTCTAAGATAAGCAACCACTTCACTTGTTAGACTCCAAGTGCCTTATGCTTGCTTCCTCAAAATCAAACCCACTCTCAGGAGATGATCTTTCAGGAACAATGAATATATTTCAAAGAATGTGATGCTAGCTTAAAAGGAGATTTTGAAAAATGGTTTATGTTTTGGGCAGTGGCTATAGTACCGGGATAAGTGTCATCTCCAAAGAAGAATAATTTAAAGAGATCAACATTCATTTGATTGTGTAAGTTGTGGTATGCTTTTAAAGAAAAACAATACACACCTCTTAAAAAAAACAATATACACCTCTATTTAGTTTCTTTATCATCACGCCTCAATTGTAGAAATCCTAGGACCTTAGAACTGGCATTGAACCAGCTTGAACTGGTCACCTGAGGCAACTCAAACTTAGAGCGTTTAAGTGTCTGGCCTGAAGCCTATTTTTGTACAGCCAGTAGAGGTAAGAATGTTGTTGTTGTTGTTTTTTACATTTTTAAATGCAACAAAACTTTATTTAAAATGTAAAATTCATTCTTAGCTTGGGCAATACAAGAAAAGGTGGCTGGCTGGATTTGCTTCTAAGGACATAGTCTGCTAGGTCCTGGTCTAGCTCAAGTTAGTGGGGTTAGGACTAGAGTCCATGGTTTTAAATTCTGTGCTCTTCCTAAACTTGTGTCCCAACTAGACTTCAAGCTGTTTATGGCCAGAAATTGTATTTTAGGCCTCTCTTTTTTTAAACTCCCATTGCACTTAGAATAGTACCAGCACCCAGAATAGTACTAGGCATACAAAGTGTCCCCAATAAATAACTATTTGAGTAAATAATGATGATTAATAGAGACATATACAGGCTACTTCATATTAGGAAGAAAAAATCCTGTAAGTATGGCAGAAAAAGATACTGAGGTATTAGTGAAACACAGGCAAAGTGACTCAAAATAAACATTTTGGAGTTGTAAAACTATAGCTGAAGAGATCTGAGAAATCATACAGATCAACTCAAGCACCTTGGCCAAATTTACATAGTCAGAGACAGGATTAGAGCCAAGGTCTCCTGACTTTGAATCTAATTATCTTCCCCAGTAAATATAATTCTAGCACACATGAATAGGAAAAAGGGACATCAGAAGAAAAGGGATTCCCCTATGACCCAATTAGTCATTTTTTAGTCTTATTCTAGTCTCTTATTCTAGCCTCAGCAACCATGAACATGAGGAGAGTTTAATGGGAATGCTGAGGATTTTAATCCAAATGATTTAAAGAGAAAATAAAGAAGTAGTTGAACAAAAAGGAAGGGATTCTGTGTAAATGGTAGCAATGTTCTTTGGATATCTATTAAGGATTAAACATGTAAGAAAGGACCGTAAGAAAAATTAGGATTATATTGCTTAAAGAATTAAGAAGTTATTCAAAAATGAAGGGTTTTGTATAAATAATGACAATGTTCTTTGGATTTCTATTAAGGATAAAACATGCAAGATTTTGGATTTCCCCCAGAGATTATGACTGGATGCATCTGTGTTTTCATTAGCATTAGAAATTTCCAGGTGAGGAAACTTCCTTCACCAATGCAGGTCAACATCTTCTCTGTAATTTATAATCATAAGAGTTACACCTTGAGTAGTGGTATCAAACTCAAATACAAACAGGGGCCACAAAAGGATCCCTGCGCATCACATATTGACTTAGGAAACCATATATTAATTTAATGTGTTTTATTGTATTTTGTTAAATATTTCTCAATTACATTTTCACCTGGCTTGGGCCACACAAGGGAATGTTATGGGCCACATGTGGCCGACGGACCTCATGTCTGGCACCTATTTAAAGCACTGTGACTTGCTCATGGCCACAAAGCTGGGATATGTTGGAGGTGGCACATGAACCCAAGTCTTGTTGGCTTTGAGGATGACTCTATCTTCCTTTTCATGGACTTGTCAAAAAAGCAGCAAAAGGATTAGGTTTTCCTCAACCTCTATCCTATCAAATGGCAATGAAAACTAGATTTTTGCCTAAATTAAGAAATCTCATGGTTTAGTTTACACCAGGCCTGCTGGTCTTTGAATATGTACCTGCAGAACAAGTCAAAATTCTCCTGCTACGGCCCCAAATCCCTACATAAGTCTTTTTTTTTTTTTTAAACTCCTTTCCTACTGGTACCTCCTTCCTCCATTCCGGTTAATCTTTGCTGCCTCTTTGCTATTTAATCTCTTATAAATATTCTCCCCCAAAGCTCAAGCTGCTTGGAACAAATAACGTTTTGCCTCACCCACTTTGTTCTGCCACCCACCACCAATCACTCTTTTTCCTCAGGGATGTACATGGTGAGAATGGTAAGGATTAGACAAACCCTGGAACACAAAGATGAGTAATAACACAGTGCCCCCAAAGTCTCAGTGCTGCTTGAGGCATAACTATACTAAGGCTTCTGTGTTGTTTGTGGAGATTTGACATGTATATTAGAATGCGACTGCTGGCACACAAGTAGAGGGGCTTTAGGGGAAAGGACAACAAGACGGGACAATTTTATTTCCAAGAAAGGAGTAACTGACTTCCTTCAGACCATAAGGTTTATCAGCAATGATATCTTCTGATAATCTTAGTGGATACCCACTGAAAAGGATACCCAAGTAGAAAAGTGGGCAAGTAATGCAAGACACTTTACCTTATTTTATTCTTTATAAGATAATATTCCTAAGTAATGTGATTCCTTAGGAATATTCTAAAGCGTAGTATTAAAACATCCATTTATGATAGGTTTTAAAAATGAATCTGGAAAATAACATTTAAAATGTTGACTCACCGGTGACTCTGGGCTGATCCTTGACACTACAAGAGGCATTTTCTGATCAACACCACCCTAGATGATTTTGTTAAATTAAAAAAAAAAAGAGTATTTCACATTAATGAAAACAAGTATAGTGAAAAGTGCCATGGCCTAACTTTACTTCAATGTAGTACAGAAATCAGGATTCTTCCTCAAAAAAGGTGCCAAGATTCTGATTCCTATTCTTTCACTCACACACACACACACACACACACACACACACACACACACAGAGTGTTGGGTGTGGGGAAGGGTAGAGATAAGGAGCCCTCTACTTCCCCAATATTCTCCCTACCCTGGCATATTCCACTAGAGGTTAATATAAATATTAAAGGTTCCCCTTTTATAGGAGTTGTAAACTGGTCTAACCATTTTGGAGAACAATTCGGAACGATGTCCGAAGGGCTATAAAATTGTGCATGTATGTTGACCCAGCAATACCATTACCACGTATGTATCACAAAGAGATCAAAGAGAAAGGAAAAGGACCTACATATACAAAAATATTTATAGCAGCTCTTTTTGTAGTAGCAAAGAATTAGAAATCGGAGGGATGCCTATCAATTGGGGAATGGTTGAATAAGTTTTGGTATATGAGATTGTGATGGAATAATACTGTGTTTTAAGAAATGACAAGCAGGATGGTTTTCAAAAAACCTGGGCAGATTTATGTGAACTGATACAAAGTGACGTGAGCAGAACCAGCAGATCATCGTACACAGTAACAGCAATATTGTAATGATGATCAACTGTGAAAGGCTTGGATTTCTGATCAATATAATGATCCAAGACAATTTCAAGAGATACGGTATCATGAGAATTTCTTCTATCAGATGACTACACAGTGGCTGAGGTACCTTGCAATAGGGGTGTCAAACTCACAACCTGCAACACTCCTCCTTAGTGCCCCAACCAGATTAAAATGCCATTAGGGAACATTTAACAAAATATTGAACAAAAAATGATCCAAAGGATTCATGATGAAAAATGCTATCTACCTCCAGAGAGAGAGCTGATGAACTCTGGGTATAGACTGAAGTGAATTTATTTCACTTTCTGGGTTGTCATACATGGATATAAGCAAGTAGGCTTTTTGGTGGTAGTGCAGCCAGCCTTATAAAGGAGGCTAGAATCAGACTGTGAAGAACTTTAGATGCCAATCTAATTTATATCTTACATGAATTACTTTAAAAGTTCTGATTGGTAGAAAGAAAGTAGAATAATTCTGAAGCATGGGGTACTTACTTCTGGTGCCTTCTCCCTGTTCTTTATTACCAATTTATCCTGCATATAGAGTATTTGCAGTTTGTCTCTCCATTAGACTGGGAGATCCTCAAAAACAAGAGCTATCTTTTGCCTTTCTCTGTAGCACCTGGCACATAGCAGGTGCTTAGTGAACGCTTATTGACTGGCTGATTTTTAGTAGTCTTTGGACAGCTGGAGGGCAACATGAAGACACTGACGAATAGAGAGGGAAGAGATTCCCAGGGTAAAGAGAAAGGAAGTTAGGAGTATGATGAAGACAAATTTCTCAAGCATTACGAGTTTCTCTAGGGACCAGGTGATTGACAAAGTAGGCTGGCTAACCTATTAGAATGGTCATTCTCAAATGTAATCCCTATTGGTTTTGAAAGGATTTGATATGAGTATTCTTCCACCTGATTTCATACCAAATTAAGTAACAGGTTTTCTGATCCTCTGGGAAAACAATGATTTTGCCCCTTGTGGCAAAAGGGAGAAATAGATTGTCTATTCCCATGACACTCTTGTCCTTCTGAAAGTGAGCCAGCAAAAGATCCAATGAATTTTTAAAAATTAGAATCCTTCATTTCACTTCTTTGCTCATTTAATATAATCTCTTTAGTTAATACTAAATTTGGTGACAACCATCATAAAAATATTCCAGATAATCTAGCAGGATATTTCACAATGGCTTGCAAACTCTTATGCAATTCTCAAAGGTTCTAATGGGAGGTTGTTTTTGGAGAGATGACAAAAGCGTGCCAGGGAACGGTGGCCATCTCATTGCAGAGAAGACCATGTAAATGAGATTTATTTCTCCTTATTCTATGATATGGTAGAGTATTTCTTTCCTTGGCTATACATTGTATCTTTTAAGTCTTGGAACTGAAGAATGTTCAAACTAGACAAAAAGCTTCAGTTATCATTTAGTTTCTAACGGTGACTGGGACCAGAATTCAACTTATTCATAACCAGCAATAAGAGTCTCCCTCTTCTAGTGTTAGCTGATCTCTGACATCCCAGAATCAATGCTTTCTGGCTATGAGGAATACCTCAGGTCACATTCTAGAGGTTGATACTGAAATGTCTGCTACTATTTTTTTTAGCAAATAAGCACCAGAGAATTGTAGAATGTTAGAGCTGGGAGAGACCTTTAAGATCATCTGATTCAACCTCCTCATTTTACAGTTGGGGAAACTGAGGCAAACAGTGACTTGTCCAGGGCCACACACACACAGAGTAAGTGTCTGAGGCTGGATCTGAACTCAAGTCTTCCTGTCTCCACGAAGCCAAGCATTCTATCCTTTGCTCCACCTCGCTGCCTCTATGTGTATGTAACAGACATAACACTCCCAGGGGTTGAATCAATCAATCAAGAAATATTCATCTATTAAGCACTTACTCTGTGCTAGGCCCAATACATGTAAAAAGAATGAAGCAAACTCTACAATGAACTTACATTCTAATAGAACTGATTCCTTATCTTTAGTGAGAACATATTTCTTTTTAAAATTTTTTTTAAAAATCTTATTTAATATTTTATTTTTCCCAATTACATGTTAAACAATTTTAACATTTTTTTTTCAAATTCTGAGTTCCAAATTCTCTCCCTTCTTCCCCTCCCTCTGTCCTTGAAAAGGCAAGCAATTTGACACAGGTTATACATGTGTAGTCATGCAAAATACACTTCCATATAAGTCATTCTGTGAAAGAAAACACAGACAAAAAAAAAAACCCAAGAAAAATAATATAAAGAATAAGTAGCTTTGATCTGCATTCAGGCTCTACCAGTTCCTTCTTGGGAGATGGACAGAACCTTTCATCATAAGTCCTTCAGAATTGTGTCGGATCATTATATTGCTGAGAATATCTAAGTTATTCATAGTAGATCATCACACAATATTACTGTTACTGTGTACAGTGTTTTCCTGGTTCTGCTCATTTCACTTTGCACCAGTTCATGTAAGTCTTTCTATGATTTTCTGAGAGCATCCTGTTCATCATTTCTTAAAGCACAACAGTATTCCATCACAATCATATACAACGATTTGCAGAACACACATTTCTAATGCAAAGTAATAATTCTAATTCCATTAAAAGGTTTGAAATGTTGTGAAATTACCTGTTATATTTACATGAGTTTATGAATGCTACTCTACCTTAAGATTAAATCCAAATTTTCCATCTTCATCTGGAGTAATACACACCAGGAGTAGATAACCATCACCATCTTCATTCTGAAGTAAATTTGAAAATTGTAACAGTAAACACATATATCTACTGCTTTAAAGTTTACAAAGTTTTCCAGATATAAGAATCCTAAAGGTAGTACAAATATTATCTTCCCTGTTTTATAGGTGAGGAAACTGAGACTCAGAGAAATTCATGGACTAACTCAAAATCACATAATTAATAGTCATTAGAAATGGAATTCGATAATAATAGCCAAGTTAGCATTTATATAGCACTTTAAGGTTTGGAAAGTGCTTTACAAATACTATCTCATTAACAACCCTGGGAGGTAGGTGCCATTATTATCCCCACTTTACAGATGAAGAAATGGAGGTTAAGTGGCTTGCCCAGGATCATACAGATAATAAGTGTCTAAGAGCAGATTTGAACTAAGTCTTCATGACTCCAGGATCCGCTGTGCCACCTAGCTGCTACAAACTCTATTTCCATTGTACTGCGGTACCTTTCAAGACAATCAGTTTTAGGGGTTGTTTCCCTGTCTCATCCATTACGATGTATAATTTAGAGAAAATACTTTATTTTAATTATAATATATATTTTTCCTACAAAATGTTTGAACTCTCAGCTATACACTTGATTTAGGTCCCCCCCCCCCCACTCCACAGTACAGTATTTGACCTAGCTGAACTCACCTTATCATAGTAGTCCTGATTAGAATCTTCTGTGAAGCTGCCTTTATTAACACTGGTATAAGTGTCTAAAACTTGATGATCTACCCCATCGATGGAACAGCAACCTGGAGCATTTACAAACTGAGATAAGGTACTGGACGATGTCTGGGTCTGAGAGTTTGGGCTGTCTTCCAATTCATTCCTTCATTAAGAAATATTTTAATAAATCAATTAGCATTCACAAGAACACTCACCACATGTATTCTGCATTGCATTTATTTGGCATGGATTCCCCAAGAGTGTGGGTTTGGGGGGGTTATAATTCCTATGCAGGGATGTACCTGTTGCACAGAAAACCCTCAGGTTATCTTTAAAAGACAGCAATGGGACCCCATGTACATCTGACAAACTCAAATGCCATTACTGCTTTATTCCCTGACCCCACCTAAGAGTAGAGAGCTAAGCTCACTATTTTCTTAAGTATTTGTGGGGAGTCCCTTTATCCTGATAAGATTTAGGAGCTGCTGATAATGTGACGTTCTTTGCTTCCCACTCTCGCCCCGCCTTCAAAAGGGTCCTACTCTAGTCTCTAGAAAAACAGTGTGCTCAGCTGGTAGTTGTTTTTAAATTACCTTAACCAAGCAAGTCTAGGCATGTATAACCACATAGGGGCTCATCATGCCTCTATTCCCTCTGAAAATGACTTGTCTCTCTTCCCTCAAGTCCTCCCTTCTGGAAGACACTGTGATTACTACTCTTAGTTGTTCAAGACAATATGCAAAAGCCTGTCATGTTCTGTATAGTTTGCACAGGTTATTGTTAAACAGTTGGCTAAGAAGATGGTTTTGGAGAAAGGGATCTGGTCTTCTTAAGAGAAAAGAGTGCATCTAATAAAACTGCAAAGAACACATTTGGATGGAAGATTTTAGAGGAACAAGCTTTAAATTAACAGTGGAAGGAGGGCATAAAAGTGCCTAGATGATATTTATATATTACTTTATATATAAACATATAAAGTAATATTTATATATTGATTTATATATATTTAGAAATAAAGTAATATACTTTGTATATTACTTTATTTACATATTTATATATTACACTAAGGTTTGAAAGTGTTGATCATACATTGTCTCACTCAATCTTCTACAATCACCCTGTGATATAAGTACTACAGGTATTATGATTCCTTTTTTTATAGATGAGAAAACTGAGGCTCAGAGAAGTTAGGTTATTTTTCTATGGTCACAAAGCATGAAAATATCAGAAAGAAGATTTCAACTTAGGTAGGGCTCTCCTGATTTTAAGTTCAGCATTTTTTCCACAACATCATACTATACTCTCACATAATTGTTAGACTAGGCACTAAGAAGGGATAAAACAGCAAAAAGAATGTCAATTCTTGTATGACTTAATATGACTTAAACAGTAATTCACTGCACTAAATAACTAGAAGGAATTAGATTGATACCTATAACCACTAATATCTATTATGCTAACGCACAGGGTATGCATAATAAAGCAAACTTGACATTTTTAAGAAGCAGCAGTAAATATGAGACATTACCAAAACTTAGCATGACAAGCTACAATATGGAGATGAAAGAGTCTGTACCATGTTCAAAAGCAATAAATTTGACAGAGGGGATGGCAAACTAGAAACGTACCTATATGACAATCCATGAACCTAATGGGGAAAGGTGATGAAAAAAATGTTTGGGTACTGGCAAAAGGAAGAAGGAACAGAAGTGATATTGTTGTAGGAATGTACTACAAGATGTCCAGCCTGAGGGAATGGATGATGGGTTCTTGATTTAGATCACAAAGCTGTCAGGAAGACAAGGGAAGGCTGTAATTGTGTTGGGAGAGTTAGGCATGCAGTGTAACTCTCAGCAAAAAGCAAAAATTCTCATCATTCCTTCACTTGTCTTGCTGATAAATGGATAAATATATCTTTCAGAATGTAAAGGTAAGGAGGAGGAGAATAATATCTGCATTGTATCTGATCCTATATTGGATCTGATGCTGGCAAAAGTGGCCGGTAAGTTACAAGTACCTTGGAGAAAACAACAATGCCATCGTAGAGTTGGCAATAACCAAGGAGAGATGTTTACGTGATACTTCAGGAAAGATTTCAAGAAGTTCAAAGAAAAGGAGGTATGATCCCACTGATTTTCCTAAAGGGAATGGTTAACATTCAGGAATGAAATCCTAATGTTCCAACCATGAATGATTCCAATGAATTAGAAAAGGAAGAGAAAGAGAGATGTGGCTTCAAAGGGAAGTCTCTGATGAGGTCAGATTTAAAAGGGCACAGAAGTAGGGGCACATAACCCAAGATAAATATGACATATCAGCAAAGTTAAGGCCTAGAACAAGCTGAGGCTTGATGCAAGTTTAGACAACAACATAAAAGGACTTTTAAAAGCTGCACTGGGGGGCAAAAAAAAAAAAGGAACATGGCTTCTTGGAGCAGATAGGATGATGGAAACAAATGAGAAAGAGAAAACAATTCAATCCCAATAGTTTGCTTCTGTGCTAGCTACTTTGCTTCTGTTTTTTTCCCCTCCCAAGGATAATGATCTTCATCTTAAAAAGGATAGGAAAAATAGTTAAGCAGGAATTAAAATCCAAGAAAAATAAAAAAGATAGTAGGTGTAGCACTCAGCTGCTATAAATGACTTTGTCCTTATCCCAGAAGGATTACATCCCCATGTATCAAAACCACCTGCAGATGTAATTGTTGAACTTCTAATGGTAATCTCTGAGGAACTGGGGAGAATGAGACCGGTGCCAATGAGGCTGGAACTCGTCAAATGTTTTCCTGATTTTCAGAAAGGGGGAATTTCAAGGAGTATTCTGCATAGTACAGATGAGTGAGCTTAGCACCGCTCTGTGACAAAAATCTAGAATGGTAATTATATCATATAGTCTGTGAACATCCAGAATGAGCATAGGTTCACTAAAAGCAGTAAGAATCTAGTCTATAAAATGACAGAGTCAACGGCCAAAGGGGTGGGGGGAAGGCTGTTGTAGGCTGCATCAGGACATCATCGGTGTTGGTGTAAATACTCATCCAATTCCACAACTTCTGAGAGTTGCTCTGGCCTACTCTATGTCCCAAGACTTTTTAGCTTGGTAGGAACTGTTAGAGGGCAGCTAGGTGGCACTGTCTATAGAGTGCTAAGCCTAGAGTCTAGAAGACTCCTCTTCCTGAGTTCAAATCTGGCCTCAGACACTTACTAGCTGTGGGACCCTGGACAAGTCACTTAACCCAGTTTGCCTCAGTTTCCTCATCTGTAAAATGAGCCGGAAAAGGAAAAGGCAAACCATTTCAGTATCTTTGCCACGAAAACCTCAAAATGGGGTCAGTGAGACACGACTGAACAATAACAACACTTCAAGGGTTTGGAATGTCATCAGTGTGGTTGTAGGTATCCATTCAACTCCACAGCTTCTAAGAGTTGCTCTGCTCCAGCTTGTACTCTAAGTCTTCTCAGCATGGTAGGAACTGTCAGAGCTTGCATTCTATTCTGTTGGCATAATATTTGAAGACTTAAGGTCACCTCCACACCATGAGGAGTCACTGGAGTAAGACTATTCGGGGAACAGAAATACACCATCCATAAAGGAAGGTGACAGTCTCCTTGTACTATGAGACCACATTTAGAATATTTTGTTTCATTCTGTGTACCCTGTTTAGGAGGGATACTGACAGCTGGTAACTGTCCAAACAAAGGCAATCAAGATGGTAAGAAGACTAGAAAGATGTCATGGAGATTGGGAAAGAAATCAAGGATGTTTACCCTAGAGGAGAGAAGACGGGGTGAACTGGGTGGGTTAGAGTTAGTGTAGGGAAGCCATCTCCAAATATCTGAAGAGCCATTATATATGAGAGATATTAGCCTTATTTTGCTTGGTTCCAGAGACAAAACAAGTATAAAAGATGAAAAGCTTCAGGAAGGCAATGTGGGGAATAATTTCCTGGTTATAAGATCTATCTGAAAATGGAAGAGCCTTCCCTGTGAAGTAATGAGTTCAGGATCTCTCGAGGTGTGCAAACAGTAGGCTATGAAACCACCTGATGTACAAGTTTTAGCAGATTTAAATACTGCATAAGGAGTTAGAACTTAAGGACTTCTCAAGTCCTTTTCACTGTTGAGACTGACTAATCAATTTCAGCAGAAGAAAGCTGTCGCCTTCTTTTGTTCATTTTTAATTTCCAATCCTTAGTGGCATGTGATTTTCACCAGACCATTACTAATCTTTGTCCTCAAGAAGTCACTTGAAGTACAAAATTAATATTCATAGCACTCTGAAAAGTTTACATATTCACTTTTATCTAGCAACTTTTTAATCTCAAAGCACTAAAATTTAGTGAAGAAATATTGCAGCACTATTAAAAGATACAAGAGAAGAATGCAGCACTTGGTATTTTTTTTTTAAATTCCTATTCAGAGGGAGATTTCTCAAATGTAGAGGGATGATAAGACATCTAATCCAATGTCCAATGTACTATATATATCTTCATTTTGTTGTTGTTCAGTTATTTTTCAGTTGTGTCCATCCCTTTGTAATCTCATTTGGAGTTTTCTTGGCAAAGATACTGGAGTGGTTTGCCATTTCCTTCTCCAGCTCATTTTACAGAGGAAGAAACTGAGGTAAACAGGGTTAAGTGATTTGCCCAGGGTCACACAACTAGGAAGTGTCTCGAGGCTGGATTTGAACTTAGGAAGATGAGTCTTCCTGACTCAGGTCTGGTACGCTATCCACTGTGCCACCTAGCTGCCCATCTTCATTTAAGTATCAAGCACCTGCCATTTCATTTCAAGAAAGAAAGAGCTTGCAATAAAGGTCTGGGTCCCAGGTCTGGGAAAGCAATGATTCTCCTGTACTCATAGGATCATCAATTCAGAGCTGGAAGGGACCTCAGACATTCACCTAGTCCACCCTCTTATCTTACAGATAAGGTCAATAAAGCTCACATAAGACAGCATCAACAGCGAATTTGAATCCAGATCTTCTGACTCCTAAGTCAATGGGCTTTGCCCTTTGCCCTGCTGCCTCTCGACTCCTAGGCTGGTCTTTCCACATCTGGAATACTGAGTTCCATTCTTAACATTACATTTTAAGAGGATATTGATAAGCTAGAGGACTTAGCCTGAAGGAAAGTAACTACAAAAAGGACAGATGTAGAAACTT